GTCGGATGCCGTCGAAAAAAAAAGAAAAAAAAAGAAAAAAAAAAAGGGCATTTTTTTTGTGACATCCGGTTTTCCGGTTGACCCCCCCTCAACCGGTCCGGTCCCGGTTGGACCGGGTCAGCACGACGGCCCGGTCGCCGGCCCAGCCCTGAATCGAACACAATTATTGCCCACCGGGTTTCCATCAATTAGAAATGAAATAGCGTGCACTATTCTGAATTCAGACTTCAACTGTGATGGGAACTGCAGATACAACTGGGGCGTCAATAGAGTGTGGCCGGTGTACGGTAAAGCCATCCAAGATTTAGGGGCTGATCAGCAATGATGTAGAGCATCCTGCTGAGGGAAGGGCTTTACATACCATTTTTTTCACAGATTTCAATGCTGTGATAGGAACTGGAAGTTATACACATTGATGAAGTTACCTAACTTACCTTTCATTTTCTGTATTTGAAACCGTCCACCTTAAATTTCCTATCTTTTGTAGGATGGAGACACTGCCCTTCCTAGCTGTGCATGAGCATCTTTTGAGGTGCCATTTGTTTCTTTTGTTTGTTTGATTGTTTGTTTGTTTGTTTGTTTGTTTGTTTGTTTGTTTGTTTGTTGTTGTTTTTGTTTTCTTTCTTGGGTAGCAGTACGGAATGTTCTGTCAATCTTCAGAGAGAGCATGCTGATTCTTTAGCATAGGCTCTGACACTGGGGGCCCACAGTTAAGAATCCAAGTTATTCAACACTTTCTCAACCACCTTTTGCGATTGCTCACAAGTTTGGCCACTGCCTTAGTCAAATTTCTATAAATTTGTGTGCTGCAATCTGTGTGAACGTGTCGCTTTGGTGGATCTTTGCATGGTATGAGAGGGCATTCTGGCAGATCCAGCGGAGATTTACAACAACTGGCAAGGGAATGGACGGATGGAATAATTGGCGGGCACCATGGATGCCACATTTGCTCCTTTGCACACTCCATCCCTATCTCTATGCGTCCGTTCGTCCATCTTTCTTTCTGCCATCCATCCACTCACTATCCCTGCACTCAATTACCCACCCTGGGCCACCCATCCCCTCATCTGCCAATTCATCCAGCCAGCCATCCGCACATCCAATCATTGACCCACCTGTCCACCCAGCCATCCATTCACTCACCCGTCTGTCTGTCCGTCCATGTGGACATGTTCCATTGCTTTCAAAACATCCATCTGGGTTGACGATGCATCCACCTCTCCATCCTTTCAATGGTTCCAAAACATGGGTGTGTTCGTTCGAGAACGAAACAGGCGATGCCCAACAAGAACAAGCTGAAGGAAAATCAGGAGGAAATTCATCGGATTGCTGTGAAGCTGAGGGATAACGCCAATTTAGTTTGCAAAACCCTCAAGGACAATCCAAATGTCACCGACAACATGGGAAAGATCGCACAGGAGCGCTCAAATCTCCAATCTCTCTTGCTTAAAACAATTCATGAGGTAGACCCTTTTTTGATATTCTTCCCCGCAGGCCTCTTTTATTTGTATATCCATCCTCCCCAACTGTGTGTTGTCAAGAAACCCCAAACTCTGTCTCTTATTCCAGCTACAAGCCATCACAAACCATCCATAAAACAAAAGAAGTATAAGCGGGCAACGCAATAGAAAGTGTAAGGTTCCCCACGTTTGTGTGGTTGAGCGGGAAGTGCCCACACACCCGTCTGCCGCCGAAGCGGCACACTTGCACAGATATATGAGTCGGCGAAACGTCAACAAAACAGTTTGTCACAGCCCCTCGTTTGTGTCCTCTTCTCCCTCTCTGCCTACGGTTTACCGGGCAGCTCTGTTTGATGATAAAGGCAGAGAGGGAAAAGAGGATAACAAACAAGGGGCTGTGACAAACTGTTTTGTTAT